CAAGCAGGAGAAACCCCATTTAACTAAAGTACAGAAAGTAGCGAGGACCTTGTGGTGGCACATACGTAATGCTCAGCTGTGCAGGAGGCCTGAGGCAGGGAATCACTGACCTGGAGGTGAAGGTGCAGTGAGTCAAGATTGACACTGCACGTCTAGGAAGAGTAGGCAGAGTGAGACTCTGTCAAAAAAAAAAGAAAAGGTTTCTGTTGGCAGCACGGGCTCACACCTGTCTCCGCCTTTGGGATGGGCAAGGCAGCAGTCAACTGAGTCTTGGAGTTTGAAACGCGCTTGGGACAGCTAGAGAGACCGGTTTTACAAAACTTTTGGACAATGGTGGCAGGCGTGGGTGAAAGGATCCTTGGCCTGTGAAGTCGAGGTTGTTGTGACTGTGGATCTTCATGCATTCAGCTGTGGTGATAGAGTAGCCCCGTGTTCAAAAAAAAAAAAAAAAAAGAGATTTCAATTCCTGTGGATGAGGTTACAATTGTTGGAATTAGCAATTTTTGCAGTCTCGCACTACAGAAAGGTGACTAAAAAAAAATGTAATTCAAGCTGGGCATGGTGGCTATACTGTAATCCCGCCTTTGGGAGGCAAGGGCGGTGTACCTGGAGGTCAGGGTTCAGGCCAGGCTTGGCAACAAGGTGACCTTGTTCTCTACTAAATCAAAATAGCTGGATGGTGATGCATGCTGTAATCCGGCATACTTGGGGAGGCTGAGGGCGTAGAATACTTGACCCAGGAGGCAGAGAGGTTGCGTGAGCTGAGGATCGCGCCAGGTTGCACGTTAGAACTGGGTACAAAGTGAAACTCCATCTCAAAAAAAAAAAATAAATTTCAAATTAAAAAGGTAAGGTCTATTTTATATTTTTATTTTTTTTTTGTTTTTTTTTTTTTTTTTTTTTGAGCGGAGCTCGCTCTGGTCGCCCGGCTGGAGTGCGTGGCGGTTCGGCTACTGCAGCTGCGCTCGGGTCAGCCATTTCCTGCTCAGCTCACTGGCGAGTGCTGGAACTACAGTGCGCCTGCCACACGTCGCCACGGCTATAGTTTTTTGTATTTTTTAGAGATGGGGTTTCACGTGTTAGCCAGTGATGGCGTATCGATTCTGCTGTGATCCACCAGTCAGGACTCTCAGAAATGCTGGGATTACAGGCTTGAGCCACCATGCCCGGCCAATAATTTTTTGTTTTTTTTTTTTTAATTTGAGACAGAGTCTCGCTCTATCACCCAGGCTACAGTGCAGTAGTGCAATCTTGGTCCACTGCAACCTCCACCTCCCGGGTTCAAACGATTCTCCTACCTTTGCCTCCCAAGTAGCTGGGATTATGGGCACCCGCAACCACACCTGGCTTATTTTTGTATTTTTAGTAGAGATGGAGTTTCACCATGTTTGCCAGGCTGGTCTCAAACTCCTGACCTCAAGTGATCTGCCCGTCTCGGCCTCCCACAGGCATGAGCCATGGCACCTGGCCCTATTTTATAAAATTGTAATGAAACTCAGAAAAGATAATTCATCTAAGATCACTTGATAAATGACAGACTCTAAAGCCCATGGC